GCTGTTCTTGCCAAGATAGCATCGGCCTTGGGCCCAGACATGTACCTTTCCGCAAGATATGATTTGAGATTCGACATGGCAGAGGAAAGCAAGTAATGAGTTAATTCTGAGGGTGCAAGCGGAAATGGCTTACTAAGCACTAATCGTGTCGCGCGACAACATCATCGGCCTCGCATGGCTCACAACGGGCACATGGTGTAGTTGGTTATCACGCCCGCTTAGCACCGCATCACGGTTTCTGCGGGCGGTCCCCGGTTCAATTCCGGGTGTGTCCATACATTCAAGTTATTGGATAATGTTTTTCTTCATAGAATCTCATCGAAGTGCATCATTCTGAGTCTAATGGTGAACCTATGAAGACTAACCCAAGCCATCTTCCTGGCCGGTCCATGTCTTTGCAAGCAAAGATAACATGATTTGTCCATGCACAGTAAACCCAGAAAACGTGTTCGCAGCAATGCAGCACCATAGAGTGTCCTATTTCAGTACATACGGATATGGATATAGATCTTGAAGGAGATGCATTGTGATAAGATCACGTAGACTTGGGTCCAGTTGCTGAGGCATCTATATCACCAACGGCTAAGATCATGGAAATTCCTTGACTGCCAGTCAAGGTCTGCATGGAGGAGATGGTTCTTATAAACGAGGATGGGAATAAAGACTTAGTATATGCTTCGCCATGAATCCTGGTTTCTGTGCAAATTCTGGTATTAGAGTAAACTTAGTCTAGTTTTGACTACTCTATCGACTTTGTGCAAAGCTCACAGCAGGTCTGTCGTGCTTCATAACACTTGCTGGTTCCCCCATCGGTCGCAATTCTAAAACATATGTTGTAGTACTTTAGGCCACGTCCAGGATCTGAATGCATCTATCATGGGATAATCTGCAACACAGTAATTTTGAGTTTTTGGATTTAGGTGAGTTGCTAGTGAGCCCACAAACCTGGCAGGACTGTCAATTGATTTGATGAGTTAGCTCCACTTTACAGAGGAGTCAGAATTGCTCCTACAGACTTTTCAGAAAAACATGTCCCACGTGCTTGCGCACGTTGTCGAAAATTGAAAAATAAGAAAAATTGTAGAATATTCAAACAATTCCTCTACGACACATTCCAGACTATTAA